ATGTTCCATTGGCCAGTCATATTCATCAACGAGAATAATGATTTTTCTACCAAAATATTCATAAAGATAGCGTGTTAGACTGGAGAGCGTCCAATAAACGTGACTCGTTAATTGTTTCCTTGAGTATATTTTCAAAATAGGATTTATCATTTGTATAAAGCTTCTTATTATCAAGAATATAACGATGTTCCATGTAAAGATTTGAAATTCTTCGCTTAATGGAATTCAGCATTGAATCCCAGGACTCATAATTAAGATCCTAGTAAAATAAGGCTCGTTAGTTTTCTTATGTAGAGTAAGAGGTACATCAAGCTCACTTGCCTTGAAACCAACGTGGATGACGGGCCGATTTCCGAAGTGTAACTTTATAAACCAATCGAATTTAGCGACTTTGAGACCTTTAAACAACCCAAACCTCTGTACTTTATCCTCTTCAGATATGCCGGTGCAAGGAAAGTATAAAGCATCGAAAGGTTCGTAGATTTCCCAAACCGGCGAGGACGAGTAATCAGATAAAGAGTGATTTATCTACAAAAGTGCCGAAGTAATAAATTCGACAAAATCCGTTTCGCCTGGAGAATATCCCCCCCTAACCAATTACGTTTGGAGAATCTTTCACAACAAGGAAAAATCAGTGATCAATGTTTTGGAAATTTGCCTTTAAAATTTACTCACCTTGGAAAAATGCCTTTTTTGTTTCTTTTGTTTATTGTACGATTTATGCATATGATGGTTATTAATTAATAAGCATTTCGGGAAACCTTACCTCTGCTTGGTCAAACCATGACATTGATTTTGAATTATCAGAGACCTGTTCCCCATCGAGAACTGGAAAGTGAAGCATTTAATGGCAACTGATTAGATTAATACTGTGTGTGTTTGCATAGAATACAGACATTTCAAATTTAAATATGGATCAAAAACAAAACTAACTATAGCATACCTTTGACTAATCTTGGGCGGTCCATCATCTGAGTTAATAAATGAAATTATTGCGGAGAAAGCAGTATAGATTTAGAATATTCGAATGCAGTCGTGGTACTTACCTTGCTCTTCGCCCTTAATATCTCTGATTGATTTTGCGATTGCTCTAGCTGGTCCATATGGTAATTCGAATGGGCCTGGTTTACAAACAAGCATTTCTTCAGTTAAGTCATGTACACACTACTCTATGTCCCCAACGCCCGAGGTGGTGGGACATATGCCTCATACGTCTTACTCGTATCAGCGAGCACACGTAGAGGCTGCGAGTTGTTTCCGTCCTCCTCCAACACGAACGGCAGGATGCAGCCGTTGTATTTGAGGCGGGTCGCACCGGGGAAAACGTCGGTTACATCAAGCATTCTTAGACATTCTCTCTCTTTGATTCGTGTAGTCGGAACCAGTTTGCTCGTATCGTTGTATTGTACGGCTTGGAAAGACATGAGTGTAAATACGTTTCTGTCAATGTCTCGCGCAATCTGATCAGTGGCTTTAATCAATGACGTATTATTATTTCCATCTTCAAGTAAAGAAGTTTTTATTTTTTACATACAATTGTTATTACGTGTGGTATGACCACTTTTAAATGTGAGTGATGGTCCTGACTTATAGTAATAGTAAACTTTATTCGTCATATTTAATACAAACGCAATTTCTGCGCATCAATTACTACAAGCCAAAACAACAATCTCCAGTTATTCTTGTGATTGTAGACCATGTTTTTGTCAAGTTGGGACAATTTGCAAGTTTTAAAAATTTGAAGGTGAATGCATAATCAGGATATTTACAATAATTGATATACAGTGAACCCTCTCTAATATCCACCCTACGGGACCGGGGTTGGATATCATAGGGGGTGTTAGGGTCTCGAATTAAATCTTAAACTTTATTTATATTTATAATAAAAATCTCCTTTATGTCTTTCTCCATATAAACTAAACAATTTTATGAATTGTGGTTCTCTCTCTCTTTGATGAAAAAACCTGTTAACTTTTTTTGTTGCCTCGCCTCGTATATATATTCGATTGAATGCGTCGCAACAGACTTTGCAATCTTGGTCTTCTACAAATTTGGCGGGTACATACTGCAGAAGTAATTTGCATTGTTCCAATGCCGTAGAATGAGAAATTTTTCGATTTCAATGTCGTTGTCTTTATTACAGCTATCAGAATTAGACGCGTGGAGTATGTTTATACTTTAGGACGCAAATCGTATTATAAATAGA